CATTAAAAACACTCTACCACCCTCACTACGCCCTTCTGCTTGGTTGAACATTGAGGGTTAATGGCGACGCGAGGACGACTCACATGCTGCAGCGATTCTCTGTTCTTTAGACCAATAATCACAGCAGCTATTACCCCGCAGTAGTGTTGTGAAAGTACTGGGCTACTTTAGGGATTTGTGTTAAATGGGTCACAATCATTCAATGGGTGCAAGCCTTTTCTGTGTACAAGTGGAATTAATTTAAATAGATGGTGACTGCTAATTGTTGCTAATTTAATAATAATATATATTTTTTTATATCATTTCCGTTTACATTCTGCTTGGGCTGCGTTGGACGTATAAACTGTCCCTCTGTCCTAGGAGATTGTTAAACTACAGTTTCAGTCACGGATCCATGCGATGGATCATGTCATAAACAGCATGGCTTAAACAGGGAACTCATAATCCATCCTGACATGAAACCAGAATTCTGTTTTTATAGTGACTTGAGCACCAGGGATAGCATTAAACCGAAACACACCCGTCTGTTTCTTTCCCTGTGCCAACATGTCAGATCGGTTTAAATTCCTGACAGGTTTAAGTGACAGTGAGGCCGCTTCATGATCCCATACTGTCTGAACTATGTAGTGTCGCCTTCACCTGCTCAGATGAGTTAACGCCTAGTCACAGCTGAAGCGTGGCGACTTCAATAAAAACACAGATTTCTGATAAAAGCGTCATACTAGATATTAAAAATTATATTTTAGGGAAGAAAATCATATTTTTGTTCCCTTTAACCACCGTTATACTGGAACGTTATAATAGAACTCCAGTGTGGAGTTGACATTTTTTTGAATATTTTAAACTTTTATGAGGAGAAAACTCAAAAGAGGATGTGTGTTTTTTCTGGGTTCACAAATGTGAAAGAAGCCCACTGTAATGCAGGACGGTAAAAAGATGAAAGATTGAACAAAGAGATATAAAAAATGTGGTTATACTATTGCAAATGTTAACAAAAATCAGGTTATAACAACAAATAGATATTAAGGTTTAGCTCAAATCTGGTTCGCCTCCATCTCCAGTCACATGCTCAGCCAACATTTCCAATCTAACTGTTTTCTTATTATACTTTGCAACTTCCTGGCTAAATAATTGTAAAAAAAAAAAATTTAAATTCTAGAAAAAGCCGTTCTGTAATGTGCTCATACACATTTACTTTACACGTGACATAATTGGCTATAGATTTCTTGATGCATTTCCTGTGATCCCATACAAAAGTGAGGAACCCAGGAGACAACATGGGATCATTTTGATGAGAATGAAAGGAGGTGAAAAACGGGCCTGTGGTCAGTCCTTACTGGTTAATTGAGGCAGTTAGAGGGAGAACAGACTTGAAAGCCGCAGCCCTCTTTGACACTGATGGCTGTCCTATGAGGGACCCTCGGGTCTTTTGATAGGGCACTCGACAGGGTCCTTTTGGGACTGTTTCACCTACCACAATAAACAGGCAGCCCTTTGTCACCGGGTAGAGGGGGGTCTGGAGGGGTGCTCCTCGTTATTATTATCTAAAGTAATTATACCTTATTATCCGTGTTTACTTTAGCGGGGGTGCAAGTGTGCAGGTGTGGGCCATTCGGCAGTGGGTTGGCAGTCTTACTAGTGAACGCACCCCTGAGTGCCCTTTTTTTTTTTTTTTTTTTTTTTTTAAACTCTCACTGCTCCATCTTTACTTCACGGGTTTTAGGGGGTTTCGTAGCATTGTAGCCACTCTGCTAATTTCAGCCCAACAAAAGAAACGTGCAATTACGGCTATTATTGTAGCAGCTGCGTGCTTCCTGGTTGAGCAGTGACAGCTTCATCTTCAGCCTGGCTCAGCAGTGGAAGGACTTACAGAGGGGAGATGCAGCGAGAGCAGGGCGTGCAGTGACGAGGAGAGAACTGGAAAGGTCACAGCAGCCTCCAGCGTGAGCAGAATAGAAAGAAACACGCAGTCTGAGAAGGTGCTGTGTTTCTTCAGTGTTGAAACAGCAGGGAGTCCTGCCTGCAAGAGTGGGCCTTGAGAACAATAGGTCTGCCACATCTCAACATGAAGTATTATTACTTGGTCCTTACTGGGTTTCAATTGACTTTTCTGCAGCATGAAGTCACATCAGCACTAAAGCTGTGTGGGCGGGGGTCAGGGGGGATGACATGCAAATAAGGAAACTACTTGTGATTTTCTTTGGACACTTTTTTGGACATTTCTATTAATAAAGAAATTTTGAAGACATTGTTATAAGGTTTGGGGTATTGCCAGGGTCAGTGGGAAAAAGCAAAACAATTAGTTAAACATAGTCCAGGTTTTATCATCCATATTTACTCCTGTACACACGACGTGTGATTTCAGTTGCTTTTCAATTATAATGTAAACAACCACACGGGATGGTAGCAAAAATTCATTGTGCAACAAACTCTGCAGTCGGAATGAACCCTACGATCATGTAAGAAGTTTGTTTTGTTTTTTTAGATCAGTGATCTACAGCCATCATATCCACCTCTGTGCTATATGACAGGGTAATAATGTCAAATTTATCTCCAGCAAATTCTAATACAGTCCTTCAGCTGTATCTTCGTCAACACGCGCAGAGGTCAATCATGTGGATCACAGTATAACAACAAAACAGACTGGGACAAATTGATAAGTGGCTTCAAAGAACCAGTGCTGAGACTCTGAAAAGCCCGGCTCTGTGACACTGAACTCCAAGGGCCCATCAAGGCCTTTGCGGAGTCAAACACAAGGGACCAATCTTACGCTTTCAGCACAAACAAAATGGGCACAGGTCCTACTCCGCTTCTCTCACTTACCAATTCTCTCACCTCGCTGACTTTACAATGCTCAGAATAATCACCAGGCCCAGGGCCTTTAGTGTCTCAAACATAAATACATCAGAGTATCCCATTGGTATTTGTGGCCTAGTTCAAATGCACTGTATTCACTGCGGTATGTACCAACAAAATGTTTAATTCCTTAGTGAACGTATATTCCAGAAGGAGGGGGAGCTTTGTCTCTCAAATGAAATTTCAGGCTCTGGCCTCTGGAGAGCTGTTGGCCTGTAATGTGCAGCTGATTGGGATAATAAGCAGGAGTAAACAGGGATCCTGGATTTCCCAGACAAACACAAGAGACTGTCAGATGCTTATCAGCAGGCATTTACCTGCCAAGAATTAAACTCTGACGCAAGCAAACAGATCGTCACTTGCTAATTTCCCAACCTCTGAGGTCAAAAATCTGTGCGAGTGTGAAATTTTCAACTTGCCAAAAAACTTACAAAACAAATTAAAAATTAAAATGAGTATTTGAGCCAAATGTTGACCAAAGCTCACAATAATTAAAATATTATTTTTAAAATACTCCTATATTGGAAAAAAAAGCCTTTTACAATAATCCTGATCTTAGGTTAACATAATGGGATGTTATTTTTTTTATTGTATCATTAGCTTATATTCTACAGCAATAGATGAAAAAACTCTCTTCTAAAAATTCTCAAGCCCTTAATTAAAATAAGCATTTGAACCTCACCTTGTATCATGGGGTAATACTTAGTCACATACAGAATATATAGGAAATATAAAATGGAAAACACATATACTTAATTACTGTACTTGAGTCCAGTGTCCAGAACGTGGTTACTACTGGCAATTGAATCGCAGGAAGATAGCTGTTGTTTTCACGCAGACCACTCTTAAAACCTTGGTCTTACTGGCATCTATTTCAGCTCATTAGGACCCTAGGATTGAGAGTCGACAAAACACTAAGAGAAATCATTTTGCCGAGGAAGTGTGGCAGGGATAAATTGGTCTCTGGTTCAGTACAAGAGTCCCCGCTGTGCCAGGCGGAAGAGAAGGGCCTGGCTGGCAGTAAGGGGCAGGTCCAGGCAAGGCAGGCTGGGAGACCTCATGCTGAGACCCCCTCCCTGACTGTGACAAACACGGCAGTGGATAATCTCTCCTTCAGGGACTTGGCCCAGCACTGTTGAGCTGAGAGGGAAGGGGGATGTTACACAGCTCAGAAACTGCCTGTGTGTGAGTGTGTGTTGCAGGCATCACAAATAAGTACATGCACTCGTTTGCCTCGTGTGCATTTCCACTGACATATAGACAATTCATACAAAGTGTACACAACCTAATGTGTCCAGTAAGACAAAATACCAAAATGTACGACACACCATGATACATAAAAAAACAAAGCAATGAAAACCTCCTGTTTTTTGTGACCATCAACAACAAAAAAAAGTTGAAATTAGATTTGCCAAAAAAACAAAACAACCCAACAACATAAAAGCAGCATCGCAAGTTTCCTAAGACAGCCAGGTAACTAGTACCTAGGTTTGAGGACTAGGTAATTGAAATACTAAGTACAATAACGGCATCTACCAAAGGTTTGGTTTTTGCAAGTAAGCATCGGTGAGCTGGATTTAGACATTACTTATTGATGTAAAAGGCCTGTCACCATCTTCAGTCAGGAGAGGGTGTCAGAAGATACTATGGTCTCAAATACTGTTATCAGGTCTTCCTGTAGAGAGCAGGTGTGTTTTTTGTCTATATAACCAAATAATGTTGAACAGTAAGCCTAATACAGGTTTAAGCAATGCAAAAAAATAAAACAAACACTGAAGACCATGAAGGTTCAAAGCAGGCTTTCCTGATTTGTCAATGTGCTGCTGTGGAAGGCCACACCACCTTTGATGACAATGTGTTGTAGGATGGTTTGAACAATTTGGCAATTGTTCAAACCATTAGTTGAGTACAGCCAGTGTTTGTGTTGCATGCTCTCAAAGCATTAAAGCAATATGATACAGTAAGTTACCATTTTTGCTTCTTTGATTTCATAAAGGTAGCCAGAACATATGAAGAAAAAAATGGTAACCAGCTTCTTAGGTTACAACAACTGCAATTGTACAGACCACAGACAAACAAACGTATTATCTAAATGTCACCGCCTCAACACTTGCAGTGTAGCTTCTTAATGAAATACTCAAAGGTACCATTTCCAACAGATTGTTTTATTTTTAATCCATATTGTTAGAAAAGAAGAAGATAAACATCAGAATCCACAAACGAGTCCTGGTGATGTGCAGTCACTCAATTTGTATTCAAATATAAATGTCCAAATCAAACGTCATCGGAGCAAGTGAAAAGCTATGACGTCTCCATTTTGTAACCATGTTTTTCCAGCTCTGCTCTGCAGGAAAAAATGATATAGAAAGATCAAGTCAGTGCAGATGATTACAGGTGGGTGGTTGAAACATAAGTACTCTCTATTGATTGTAAGAACCATTAAGAGGTGGGGGTGGGCAAAAAAAAAAAAAAAAAATATATATACAGAGTAATGTATGCAGCTGTAAATTGATGATTACAAATGTATATAGTGGCCTTATCCTTTCACAATAATGACAACATTGAGAAACAACTTAATAACACATCTCCCATTATTGGCCTGAATAAAACAATAGCATGTTGCTGGTTGAGAACACTTCATCAAAACACCAATCACAAAACCTAATAAGTTATTGATTACCGCACAAATGTACAAGTAAGCCTCTTAAGTAGTGTGGAAATGGGGAACAGGGAATGGACAGACAGACTATAGATTTGTTATATATAAATATCACAATACCTTAACATATAACACCCAAATAATTTATTTCCAAATTGTATGATAGCAATCTAAAAAAGAAATCAGGTGTTTGATAAGACCATTTTATAAAAGTAGTAATTTAAAAGCCTAACACTGGTTGTGAGGAAATTAATTCCTATAGTACTCGAGGTTATTGTTATTGTTCAGAATGGCAGCACAGTTGACCATGACATGCACCCTGTAAAAAGTTGAGAAAAAAGTGATAGTACAATACCTTAGTTTTTCTTAAGGCATTGTGACATTATACTTAAAGATACAATCTCTCTCTCAACAATTATTGAAAAATGCAATGCTTTAATAAAAGACATTTTTTTCTGGGTCAATTTTTATTCGCATTGCAGCAGGGGTAAAACACAGCAATCTTTTACAGTCAAAAGTAGACATTGTATTGTAACCAGATTTATTTGATATTTTATTTTATCAATATATGGTTAAAACATTAAATATTCGACACCATAGCCTGTAAGTTGAATGTTATTGTTCGTTTACCTCAACTGATTTGAGAAATCGTCTTCAACGTTGTCATCGTCCCAGTTGTCCTCCCAAACATGAGCATCCTCATCTTCATCCAGCCCCGTCCAGTCTGGAGATAACACATTGTTATTACACCATCATGTTTAATATGTTAACAATTTATCTTTATGCGGTGTCACTGTTTTGCTAATAGCCAGCATTTTTAGCATAACAGTGGAGGTATTTCCTTATAAAACTCACCCAATACAAAATATATGTAATGATCGAACACAACTAAAAGGAAAAGAAAATGCATTTAATTCTCAAGCGTACAGACCTAGCACAATTACAGGTTTTTATCTAACAACAAATGCGTAACAGTTATTGCTAATGCTAACATGCTTAGGCTAGCTGAGTCACTGCTGCAGGGCTAACAGCTCTCGATAACCGTCGATATAAGGCTACTAAACGTGGAGTTTCTTTACAAATTATCTCATAACTTACCTTCGGCTGGGAATTCTTCAAACTCGTCATCCTCCTCCAGTAAACCCAGGTCGACGGTCTGTTTCTTCTCCGACATGTTTGCAGCGTTTTTGTTGCTCGTGAGCGGATGTTAATGAAGGAACGTCTCTGAGGTGCGGACACATAAGATGTTCGAGCGGGTAGAGGCTGCGCATAATTGCGCATCAGTCACTGTTCTTCAAGTTCAGTAATTCTAATGATGTCCAGCTCCCTGTATTAATCAAATAATACATAATTCAAAAACTAAGTTCTCATTATGTCAAATTACAGGGAACTTGCGTAATATTACAATACAGTGTCGTTGTGCTACTTTTTAAGCTTATTTTTTGACATTAAAAACTAAACTAGAAAGTATAGGCATGTACTGCGCATCACATCAATTATTTCAACTTACTTACTACTATTATTATTACTATTAACGTTAGGTTACTTTAATAAATAAAAAAACATATATTTTAGATTATGTGGAGTTCCTGGTGAGAATGGTTTAATAATTTAACATTTCTGCTATTACTAAAGTATACATTGTTATAATGAAACCCACACTTTTGTAGTAATGTTAATAACCTTGAACAAGTTTATCGGTTCAGAAATAAAAATTGTAATAGAAGTCAGTGTTTTTAAGCTATTGAAAATGTGTTATTTTCTATTTATTTATATGTTTAATTCTCACATCAAAGTTAAGGTCGTTACTGCATTTGTTTATATTCATAAAATCATTATATATTGTTCATAAGTTTAGTAGTGCAATTATTTACAAATGGATAAATCTTTATAGTCAATGTAAAGCAATAGGCAACTGTGTTAGATTTGTTTGCTTTTTTTCCCCAGGATTCTTCCCCCGAAGCCATTCTATGATATTGAAATGTTGAGTAATGCTTGGAAACCACTGGCAGATATTTCTGAAAACACAGCCGTCTTTCTCTCTTGCTCTCTTCCTCTCTAAATTTCCCCCCTCTATGTTCTTCCTCTCCTGGACGCAGTTCCTGCCTCTCCAACACCACCACAAAAGCCCTTGTTGTCCTCAAAACATATGTTCCAAAGTTGGGTGAATTTCAGCAAAGATTTTTCATTTAAGAACCAATGCACAATGTAACCCATGTGGCCAACTCCAATAATGAAGCGTTAGCCACAGCTTAGGATGTATTTTAGATAAATGAGAGTGCACATTGACCACAAAACCACTCACTCCACAACGAAAATTGCTCTACAGCTGTCATATGTTGACAGATGGAGCAAACCTCAACTTAGGCTCTGCATACTTATTCTATTTTCAAATTATTTGGTAATCATCCTAAGCCTTTACACATGACAGTGCCACAACATTTGCAGGGAAGAGGAACAAGACAGAGAGAGGCTGCAGGAAATAAACGCCACTGTTTACAAATTCCATTAAGTTGTAGAAACATATGTAAAAGCTTCTCTTTTTTGTAGTTGAAGCCATGGAAGTAGGTTCTGCACACAAAATCCAATAACATGAAATCATCTGCTAAAAATGGCTTTTTTTAGGGCAGTATTGTTTGCAGCCATTTCGGTGGAAGCCACAAATGGATCCTTGGCCTTACATCTAGTGCTGATCTGTCAGGTTAGGTAACCCCAAGAGACCTGTTGAAGCTTTGGCTTTAGACTGGAAGTTCCAAATGGGAGCAGAAGAAGCAATTATTTCATTCAAGGCTTCAGTTATGGCAGAGTTTATGAATGATGGATTGTCTTCCTCCACCCCCCAGGTATAGCTGCTCCTGGTGCCCACATCACTCAATGTCAGGTGCATGAGAAGCCCTGGGAAGTCACAGTGAGGTCCACCCAGCATACCTGAGACTGCAGTTACACCGAGCCTGGCGCCTGTAGTCTCTGGGAGGAGGCGTTGGGTGGGTGGGTGGAGGGGGTGCTCATAGATTGAAGATACAACATGGGCACCGCATACAGACTCCACCACAAGTTGTGTTTAAGAAGCAGCATCACGTTTCTGTCCTTTCACAAAGCCCTCTGGGAAAAAAGACAGGTTGGCAGCCAGTGTAAGTGCACTGAAAAACTCAGACGGGGACACAGAGGACGACTCCAGCTGGAGCCTGCCCAGCCGGTCTGACAGTCACCCCCCCCCCCCCCCCCCCCCAGCAGACTCCACAAACTGCATGGCTCATGATATGGCCCGCAGGCTGTCTTGAAAAGAGTGTGTTTGTGTGTTTTTGTGTGTGAGAACGAGCTTGTCACCATATAATCCAGATCAGCTCCTGGAGATAAGAGACAAGAGCACTTCATCCACATGTCAGAGAAAGTGACAGTGGGAGACAGCTGGTCGTCTGCTCTGTCTGGTCCTGTACTTGTTATACCTGTGGTCAGTCTGTGACCTCTGACCCCCTCAACAAGCGTCCACACTTTGCATCGTTATTGTGTCTCTGTCCTGAAATGAAACGTACCGCTCCCACCCGAGGCTCTGCTTAAAGTTTCATTCTCAGAGCTGTGAAGTATTCAGCCACAGAGAAGGTGAGGAGAAATATGATCTGAAAGAAAAAGCCAGGAAAGTGATCATCATGGATTAGGGGCGACTTAACCAGCCAATTAATGAGGCAAATCCAAGAGAAAACATGTCAGCTTTGCTCCGAGGAAATTTGCTGCGGGAATGATATGCTTCCAGGATATGTCTGTCAAGATCCTGTATTAAATTTAATCCCAGCCAGTCAGTGAGTCTAGTCCATTGTGTCTTGTGTGGAAACCCAGCCTTTCTTTTCAGATGAATCTGTATAGCTATTGTAAAACGATGAATTTCCAACATATCATGTAAGTATTTTCAACTTATAACTGCACAAACTAAAAAAATAAAACTAATTAAAATTAGTTTTGTTTTTTTATATCAAATTTCCTCCAGGTCACACTCATTGAGAGCCTTTTCACAGTGAGTTTAAGTTTCATATTTTCCTCCCTGTCCTTCTTGAAAACCTCTGTCATCTTGGGCTTGAGGTACAGTTTGCCAAGAGGCTAATTGCTCCTTATGACAGTACAATCTGATGCCTGTCCTGACTACCCTGCAGGTAATCCTGTCCACCTCGGTGGCTTAGTCCTGCTTGGGCTTAAGTTGCATATTTTGTTTTTATCAGGACACTGATGATAAATGCTATCAGCGGGGGAGAAATGAAAAATGGGGGGTCTAGCTCCGTTTTGCCTGATCCCCTACTTGAAATCTTGAGTTGAGGAACAATGGCGCCTCTATTGGTAATTCCAGACTGTTTGTAACCAAGGAATACATAGCATAACACTCGATGATATTTATTCTAGGCATTTTGCTTCTAGATTTGTCATTAGATTGTTGTGTGCGGTGCAAACTCTGCCGGAGATCATTGAATCCATCACAGTTTTGTGGTGGAAACATTTTGAAGGACGATTGCTGCTGTTGTACTTTTGGACCTGGGAAATGTCAATGAATAAAAATGATAAAATGACATGCTAATTTATTTTCAGTAATGCGTGCTAATAGTGCACTGCCTCTGTGTCCACGGTCCAATGCCATGAACCTATACGATATGTGAAAAGCACTCACACACTCTTACCATAGGTGATAACCCCCTCTGTGAAAAGCACTCTTATTGGAAGTGCCCATTATCTGCAAAGTCTATCCTGGTGCTGTCACTAAGTCATTAGTTTAAGCTGTCCTCTGTGTAAAATCCTAGTTAATTCCTTTGGCAGTGGTGCGTGGTGATTTGAAACATATTATCATCGAGTGCTGAAAATAATTTACAAGTGAAACAAGCGTGGAAACTCGGAAAAGTAAAAAACAGTAATGTACACACGGAGACACACAAAGAAGAAAGGTTTGGCCTAATAAATCATCAATTAAGGAGAAAATGATCTGATTTATTTTCACGTAACATGGCGTGTGTCTCTACAGGGACCACAAACTACTGTATTGACACTGCTGCTTGATATTAATTGATATAAATATCATTAATCAGTATTTGCCAATTGATATGTCATTCGCCTTATTTGACTTTTTTTTTTGCATAACTTGAAACATCCCGGTCTGCTCCTCTCCGCTCTTTATCATCATGGTATGTCTAAAGTGAGCATGTCCCACACAGTGGGAGATGAGGGTGAGAGGGGGAGGTGGGAAGATCCAGTTGCGTGTTCTAAATGAGTGACAAGACCCGCTCCGTTCTTCCCTGACACCTGTCAGACCGCAGTCTCTCGCCTGAGTGTGGAGATGGAAATGAGCCGAGGTGACACAACATGCCAGAGGTGACGGTGATGGTTCGACCCTTTTCTGCATCAACGGCGCAGCTCGTGTGCTGACCGAGTAACGATAATTATCCACTATCTCCTAGCTTTCAGAAGAAGTCGTTTTTTTTTTTTTTAATACGACGATGTCACGTGTTGGAATGTTAAAGTTGCGATGCATTGACACGGCCGTGTGTGTCCATCTGCATGTGTTTGAATATTAAGATAATATATTTATATTTATATATACACTGGACCTAATTCATTGCCACCTCAGCACACATTATTATTATTTGTAATAACAGGCAATGTGCCATATCCAGAAATCGAGGATTATGTTCTAAAAATTGATGTTAATGTTTATGTTTATGATGATAAACATGGTTTCAAACTCCTGGCCCAGGGGCCAATTGCGTATTTATATAATATGTGAGCTAAATGCTAAATAGCAGCAGAGGTGTATAGTTTTACTCAGGAGTGTGTTTCATTCTCACAGCTCGGTGATTCCCACTGCACACCGAGTCAGCTGCAGCCGCAACAGAATCGAACTCAGTCTCTCGAACTCCCTCGTTGATTCTCCGTAATCTCTGACTGACTAACGCTGCACAATTTGGTTGCACTGAATTCCACGCAACTAATCCCCAACATGTGGCCGTCCCTGGTCCCGGAAAAGTCTGTGATTGGTCTGATTGATAAATGAAGCTCCCCTCATGCTTTTGGGCGTCCGTTGAAAGGGGCCCTGCGTGGGTCTGGACTATGTCCAGGAAACCTGGGACAGCGTCTTATTAAGTTGTTAGACCCTCAAGACGAGGCAGCAGACAGGGACTGCTGGTGGTCACCTGGGCTCAGGCTTAGCTTTGGCATCCCTCAGCCATCAGTCGGGTCCCGGGGTCCGACTTTGGTTTCACATTTGGAATGAGACACAATCCTCTCT